TGGCCCCCCAGCCGGTGAAGCCCACGCCGGCCATGCTTCACCATCCCGTTCCCTTCCCTCTCCCGCTACAGCTCCTGCCCTCCCCGGCACCAGCGGGCAGCTGCCTGCACCTGAACGGGAGCCCCAGGTTGGCTGGGGAACACGCAGACACAGCGAGGCCGACGGAGGACGCGCGGCTCAGGGGTCTGGCTACAGAAAAGCAGGAGGGAAAGCGCCTGCTCTACCCGCGCCAAGGGAGAAAGGGACGGCTGCGCGCGAGCCACGCCGGCGGCTGCAAGAGCAGGAGCTCGGTTTGGCCAGTGCCAAGGTGGCCGCAGTCAGCCGCAGGATCCGGCCAAGTGGCTGGGGGGAGCCCGGGCCAGGTGGCTGGTGGTAGCCGGTGGGGCGATTCACGCCAAACGGCCCCTTCTCCCTTCAGCGGCAGCCGCGGCTCTTACATACAGACAAGCTGAGCTGCGGTGCCACCTCGGCCGCCAGCCGGGCTCTGCTGCTGACCAGAGTCTGCAGGACTGGACCGACCGCGAGGCGCAAAGAGAAGAGAGAGAATTACAGAGTGGGGAGAGCGAACCCCCGGCTCGGCTCCTGCCACCGCGGGGGGACGGGGCTGTGGCTGTGAGAGCATGGCCCACGGTCACGGAGAGGCGGCCGCTTGCCAGTAAAAAGAGAGCTGCCCGTGTCCCAGCGGAGCCGGGCCGTGCTCCAGGGAAAACCGCCTGCCCCGGACACGGAGCAGGACAGCGGGGACCGGGGGACCCGCGTTACCTTCTCGGGTGACGCTGGAGGCCACATCCAGGGCTTTGGTGCTGAGGTTGCCCAGCATGTTGTCCACGGTCTGGTGGTGCCTGAGGAAGCAGGGCCGGATGACGTTCTGGTAGAGCACCTGTGACCCGTTCCAGGACACGGGGGCCATGCACCACACCAGGAACAGGCACTGCGGGGAGGAGAGACGCTCCAGAGCTGGAAGATGGCAGGGCAGGCAGCCCCCAGAAGGAGGGCAGTGGCGGGGCAGCAGCTGAGCTGCTCCAGTGCCCCCCAGCCCGGCCCAAAGGCAGCTTCCTAAGGCTGGAGCTCACTGCAGGGAGCTCCACGATGGACCGTGGCCCCACCACGGCCACCACCACCACCCCGCTAACGGGGCAGAGCCCACCAGGCTTGGTTCATCCAAGTTCAGCCAGCGGGTGAGAGGACCCTGGCACCGGCAGCCCCCAGCGAAGCCGTTACCTTCCCAGCGTAGTAGAATGGGAACCAGTAGAGGAAGGTGTCGGAGAAGAACTCGGCTACGCTGAAGACGCCGTACACCACCCAGTATGTCAGCCACGTGGTGTCGTCCTCCTTGCTGGAGCTCTCGATGGCTTTGATGCTGCGGCAGGAGAGGGGAAGGGCACTGCTGCGGCAGCCCTGCCGCCAGGGCGGGCACCTCCTTCCCAAGTCCTCCAAACCCTGGAGCAAACCTGCCTACTGGGTGCTGCTGCCCCAAGCTGGGACTGTGCCAGGTCCCAGTGTTTGCAGGAAGGTCTCAAGAGCTTCCTGACCATAACCGCCTGTTCGTTTACCAGGGAGACCCTCAGCTAAGGGCAGGGAATGCTTTCCAGATGCTGCAGGGAGGCTGGGCCGGGACATCGGTACTTACGAGACGTATGCGGGGTAGGCAAAGCCGATGAGGTTGCAGAGCAGCGAAGCGCCATAGCCGAACACAAGGTACAGCCCCAGGAACGCCACGGAACCTGATGGGGGGACAGAGAAGACGGTCACAAACCTGCCGACACCAAGATGGTGAGGAGAGACCCGGGCTCAGTCTGCTGAGCAGGCTTCTCATCCCAGTAGTGAGAAAAGGCCCGTGCCAGGACCCTCCAGTTGGGAATAACGACCATCCCCAGTTAATTCCAGTACGACCCTCCACACACCGGACCACCGAGGTGCCCAACACACTGCTCGCGCAGCCGTGCTGAGTCGCGGCGCGTGGCAGAGTCTGTCGTGGAGCGCAGGTGCTCGCTCGCCCCTGAGGGAAACTGCACGCCACAATCTGGTCCCGTCACCGTTCGTCCCCTCCCTGGCCTGGAAGGGACTTCACCACAACAGACTCATAGTGCTTTTGACCCCTCGCCAGCCTGGACCCTGGCCAAGGCTGCAGAGGCATTGGAAGCGGAGGCTTTAACGCGCACCTGCAGTCCAAAGTTAAGGGACTGAGCTTCTCCTTTGCACACAGGGCTCGGAGCCACTTGGCATTTTGATAACGACTGTTCAAGGACAAGCCTCGCTCCCAGAGCCCGCGGCTCCTTTCTGCTCCCTGTCCACATCCCCTCCACGTGCTTGGGCTGAGCAGCCACTGTTCATTACGGATTCAGCCCCCTGAGAACCAGCAATCCAATCCCGCTTCCCTGTTATTAAATTAAACTGTTGAAATTAAATGTAAGCCATGGCTTTGGTTGTTTGGAGCCTGCCCGGCCCTCAGACGCTTGCAGGAGGCTGGATCAGCGGAGCTGGGAGAGCCAGGGGATGAGGGAAGCTGGGGCAAGGAGCCCTTGCTGCTGAAACCGTGGCCACAGGGAAGAGCCCTCGCTCAGAGGCGGGCTCGGAGGGCAGGGAGATACCGGCACCCAGCAGCTCCCTCCCAGCCTGCCCAGGGCAGCCGAAACGCAGAGCCCGAAGGGGCAGAGGGCGGGAAGGCAGCCCAGGGATGCGCGGAGCCGGGGGCATTTACTGTCACATCCCAGCAGCGTCTCCCCTACCCCGCGTACAGGCTCCTCCACCAACATAAGCGCCTTGCCCTGCAGCGGGCAGGAAAGCCAGGACTTAACCTGTCTGTGCCGGTGGTTTAGAGGAAAGCCCTTGCCGGGGCTCGGAGGAGGG